AATCTTTAACTAAAGCATCAGAATTTTCCTTAGAAACTATAGTAATGATGATAAATCATTTACTTACGTCTTTTTTTCTTTTTAGCCAACTAACAAGAAATACGTTATTGTTGACGTCCTACAGGAAAAACAACTTATGATAGCATCAAAGAACTGGATAGTTGGCAATGACCTTTGCGTTCTTCCGAACGAGCTGGTCGATATACACCTGCAGAAGTGCGACCAACCGAATGAAAATTGGTCGCTTATGAAATGTAAAGTGATTCACGAATTAGGTAGGCTACAGACACAGAAAGTATAATTCACTATAGATTCTCTGCAGTCAGCAAAAGACCTGTTAGCTGCCCTACAGGTACTGGAATGTCGAAGGAAAAACACCTCTACGGATGAAAACACTTTGCCACTGAACACTGAGAAGCCAAAGAGGTCTGTACAATAATCTTACTTACATTTCCTAGAGGTTTAATGAAGCGTAAAGAAGATTTTCTTTACAATTCAGTTGACATGGATGTGGCTGAAATGCAGGCTGGGAATAGCCGCGTACAATATCCAAAATTCCGTGTTTTCAACAAAGTGATATCGCCAATCGCCAAGTACGTTTAATTACTATTTAGATATTCACTATTTAGTTCAACACAATTAGAGATATCACCATCCACATCGCAATGTAAGCCTGTTGGTGGCACTGTATTGGACCAGTAAGTTACCTACATCATCTAGTTACCTTTTTTACCTGTGATAGATTGTATACGGTGGTGCTGAAGATGTCGTCAGCTATCACTGACTTGACTCAAACGATTAACAACATGTCGTCCGCCATTACGAACTTGAATGTTAATGTTAACCAATTGCTTTCAAAGTCTAATGAGCGCGAAAGACCGCATGAATTCGATTGCGGACTGTCAAGTCAGGAGTTCCCTTTGTCATCTGAAGAGGAACTACAGATGCTAGACACTGGTTTGTCGCAGAAAGAAACCAGGGACAGATTTGTAAGTCATTAACATGAATTGAATAATTTGTTACTATTACAGATGGCAATGGTCACTAGGTTATCAGGTGACGATCCAAAAACGTCCATGCGTTTTATTCTGTCGCATCTGCTGACACCGGAGGTTGCCAGTAAATTCACGTTACTTGGCACCTCTTCTAAACGAGCACTACATAAATGCACGTTTTACAGCTGCATACGAAGTAACGTATATCTATTACTTAAACTTCAGGTGCCTTAACTCATCGTTTTTTGTCATCCTCTGTAAATGAGAAAGACCTTGGTAAGCTATACGACATAGCGACACAAGGTTACTTTCACGACCTCCGAGACAAGATGATAAAACGAAATAGAAGAAAAGAAAATCAGGTAGGTACTAATTTAAAGTTATAACATCCCTACGGCTCTATAGTTACAGTCAACAATACTGACGAACATAACCGTAAGTTCAGCTTCAAGTATTTGGTTGTGCAAAAGCATGTCATTGAGATATGGTTGTGACTATTTTTTTGTTTTTTTTTTAAAATTCAGAATTCACAGGACGACTACCCCAATTGTGATTAGTCCGTGCAATTGCTTTGATGTTGTACCTCCATTTCAATAAACATTATTCTTTCAAACAGCTTACTGTTTTACCTACATGGGAAACTGTTGAAGTGTTGAGAATGGGTGTTTGAGTTTAAGTGAACTATTGATTAAATGCACATTTCTTATGAATACATTATAACCTGTTCGTTTTTTTTCAGATAATTTCAAATAACAATGTATTACCAATTGCATTGGATATGCATAACAATCGATGCTTCTGCTTGTGCTCTTCTGTTGTACAATAATACGCTTTTATTTTTCAATAAAATTTTTGAAATATTTACCGCTTTTCCACTGCATTGCAGATATATTTTGGTCTGTTGTTGAAAATGAAGGCGAACATAGGAGACCTTTGGGGTTCTGTTGATGGATAGAAAATAGTAGGTAACGTGTGTATTTAGGCGAAAAGTAGACAATTAAGCGCATAAGTAGGCAATTCGGCGGATATTTAGGTGAAAATGCGACAATTCAGCGGAAATTTAGGCGAAAATGCGACAAGTCAGCGGAAATTTAGGCGAAAATGCGACAATTCAGCGGATATTTAGGCGAAAATGCGACAATTCAGCGGATATTTAGGCGAAAATGCGACAATTCAGCGGATATTTAGGCGAAAATGCGACAATTTAGCGGATATTTAGGCGATAAGTCCGTAATTTGTCGACAAAAAGGCGAAAAAGGGGAAAATCCGCATTATTTCCCCCGGACAGGCGAAAAAGGCGACATTCTGATGCGTTTTCCCCTATATTTCCCCTTTTGCTACCATAGCATTTACCCCTTTATTTCCCCTTTTTCCCCCTTTATTTCCCCTTTTTGTGTTGTTTGGGTAGTAAAGACAACTCCACTTAAAGCTTTTCCAAATTCTTTAAACCCAATATTGACAATCCTGTTTCACTAACTAAAAATTCACATGTTATGTATGAAGATTATCTCTTATTGGCAATTCACAAAATCCTCGTACGGACAGTCTGTGTCCAGTGATTTTCAAAATTGTCACTTCACTTAGTTGTACCACAGTGTTAGGATTTATCGATTTCAAGTTCTTGAATGAAATAATGGACTCTATACTGCCTGTGTACACAATGAAGTCATGAAATGAACCAAGGGACATATATGATCGCTTTTGAATATGAGCATAACCTTTCGAAACGATACACAAAGATAAATGATCATTAAGAACAGTCAAACTATTGGGATATAAATTATAAGATTTAGTAGTACTTGAAGCAAAATGAACAGTCGTTTTGCATACCGAATGAATGTGTCCTATGTTATCACATTAAAAGCATTTAGCATAAAGAAATGCACATGAATTACGAAAAAGAAATTTGCCACAGAATAAACATTTAACAGACTTGATCTCCCCTTTGTGATTTGCATTGTAATTCCTTGTTGAAACACCCTTCATATTTACACGAGAATAGTAATCACTGTTAAACGAACGCAATTTTGACTGACCCCGAGATTGTATTTCATCTTGACGACTAAGCAAAGTATTGGAAATCTTCATCGACTGGATATAAAGTTCATTCACTGCTTCGTAGTTAAGACACACAGTTTTAGAATCTTGAAAGGAACAGTTCGGCATTTTTAACAGCTCTCTCTCCGAACACAGTATGTTAACTCCTGCAATTAATTTATCTCTCAGTTGCACATGAGGTTGATTACCTAAATTGCATTTGACAGCTTATTTCTGCAATTCGAAGATGAATTCCTGAGTTATTGTGACGAATCACCTTATGAAATTTTACCCTCTAAGAACATTCAAAACTGGTGCACATTACGTGATTTATAATAGTTCCTTAGGAGTTTCATAAGGAGGTGAGATAGACATTTCTGGATACGCCAAGTGTTTAGTAAGTTGTATGCTTCTGTTCCAATGAATGAGAGGAAATGTGCCACAATTTTATCACCCTTCACACCTTTCTTGGTCATGCTTCAGATATCGAACCTTCTCGCATAATACTCAAAAGCTTCACAAGTTGAATGAATATCCCACTGTCCCATCGCGACCCCAATATGATAATTAGGAGTATTTGAATTATAGTACAAAATTGGAATCCTAGAAATAACTCAATTTAATCAAGAAGCACTAGATAAACACGAACGAGTCTAGTGTATTTGGGATTCGAGATCAAGCATTCATCAACTACAAAGGAATCGTTAGTTCATACAAACACCGCAGTTTATTACATTTAAATAGTTATATTTGTTACTCTCCTTGTTAACCGGGACTTAACATGGGGTGCATTACTTGAAAAATAATTTGGTTCGCATTCGTCATTTTTCACTAAACCCACCACAGTCGTTACTGCTATACGTATTTGGGTTTATGAATTGGTCGATCATATTAGTTGCCTATAAAGACGAAGATAATTTAGATAATAGTCACCGAATTTGGGTATTATCATGCTGCACTTGAATAACAACTAAACTATTAGACAATTGCTGGTCAAACAAATATTTAAAATCAAAACCTTGTAGACTACTACTAAAATTAACACTATGTAAAAAAATATTTTTAAATTACACTTAGTAATATAATCAGGCAGCTCGAATTCGTTAACGCTACGAATTTATGATAATTTCGAATCACCCAAGACAACAATACCTATTATCCACAAGCTAATTCTCAATCGACACTATAATTAGTTGAACATAATGGTTTCATGATATCTTCATACAGCATTGTCATGACTTGATTGATAAAATTGGTGGAGCTGTTAACAAAACCAGTCAACATATTGACTTATAATTATTATTAAATGGTGTTGTTTTCTCGTTATCTTCATCCACCACAGATGATTTCATTATGTTTTTCTCTCGGTTGCTCATTCAGTAAATATCTTGAAACTCCGTCAGTCAAGTTGGAGGTTAACCGACACAATCATGCACGCAACACATCAGTATAAGCAGTTGAGAGAATCGCCCGTGAACTGAAAACACTGTCGAATTTACACCAACACTGACTAAGGTTCAAACCAATATCATAGAAATGAGTTGAGAGTTGTACCCCCCTTCGTTAAAACTAATGTTCTCCTTGATAATCACATGGACAGCATCATCTTGTGAAGATTCATTTAGCCGGACGCGTGCAACACAACCCATGTTTATGGCACACACCCCGATTGGTTCCAACAATTCGTAATCACCATATTTGTATCTAACTTATGCGGAACTCGATACTTGTTGCTTACTCGTATGCATCATCAGTCGGTAGGTATGAATATAAACACTAAGTCTGTGGCAAATTATAGCACTGCGTATTGAGAATGCACTCATGTTTAAGGAATCCCTCTTATCTATTTGCAGGTTCGATTTAGTTTGGTTTGGATATCCTGCGAGTATATCTTGGTTTTGGTAATGAAAACCCAGGGAAATTGTCTGCTGAACCTCAAATCTGGCGTTAAAGTTTACTACCCAAATGTCGCAATTTTAATTCTATTTGCGACTTGAAGTCTGACTGGGGATGTTTCTCGACCCAGCTCAGTTTTATACTGGGGGAACTATAATAAGAGCAGCGCCAGTATCCGCCAAGAAGTTTAAGTCTGTATTTCTGTCTCTAAGATAAAATAAGCGGTTATTCGAGCGCTTTTCCATGTTCTTGGGATTCTGTTTAAGCCAGGCGCATGGTTGCCTGAGCTTGGTTGAGTTGGTTCCAAACTTCCAGTGAAACCAACAGAACTGCCCAGATTGTCTCAGCATTTGTGACCTATCTTGTGCGTTGGATCTCAGTCGTTGTGGTGACCTGCTGCTCTTTCTATGACCCATCTGCATTCTGGCGAAACAACCTCAGTGAAACTTCTAGGAATGGGTCCTTTGATTGCTCTTGTTTTCTGTGGATTTGTCGTTCGTTATCCAGTTGGGGGACCTAGTTCCATTATCCTATCTACTATACGCACCAGATGAAATAAAGAAGTGCCAGGGTCTTGTGCATCCAAACATTGTTCGACGTAGCATAAAAGAGCTTGTATCCAACCCTGTTTTAGGACTGCTTCACACACTGTGTTGTCACCCACTAAGACATGGAGATGATGTAAAAATGTGATAGCAGCCTATCAATTAATGTTTCATCTTGGAGAAGTCTTTGGGCTTTTTGGCAACTTGATAATGATAAACGGTTCGTTATCTCTCGTCTTAAGATGGTATACGGTTGTGGTGATGGTGGGCTTAAAATCAAGTCGCAGACTTCTTTGGAGACTGAAGGAGAGGGGATGGAACATAGGTCTCTATAGTGAATTCCTTCAGATTTGATATTGTGCCGCATGAAATAATGCTCAAGTTGAGCAATCCACAACTCGAGGTCACTACGACCAAATTCTGGGAGTCGGGCTTCGGTGGTAAGTGTTTGTCTCCACTGGTGACAAATCCTCCAGGTTTTGAGTTCGTAATGAATCTGACATGAGGATTATGACCAATACAGTAATATAATAAGAACGAGGTAAAATACTGACTATAACACGAATACTTTAAGACACGAAACTATGTGTAGATATGTACATAAAACTTTGGTTAGAGATAATCAGAAGGTCTACTTTTACGAATAATAATAATTAAATTAAACTATCGGGAGAAATTACCGGGATGAAAATTTTATATTTGTGTGAAAAATTCAGCAAGAACTGTACTTGTCCTCAGAAAGTGGAGTGTTACTAGTTCACTTGCTTACTCACCGTTGTTCCTCGTGAAGATGGCACAGGTATTCAGTGTTTGACAACGCTTTTACCAGCAACACCTTCTAATATAACTCTCACCCACCAAGTGAAATCAAAAGACAGAGTCGAGGAGATCGGAAGAGTGTATTTAGCGATAACCAATATATTGGAATTCTCTGATATAATCTGGCTAGCGATTGCGGTAGATGTTGAGCACAGCGTTACCACACGTGATCTGGTACGGATGCATGGCCGAGCGCCTTCAGCTAGATGAGTCCACTAAAACTAATCTGGTCAGCATCCAATGTCGAAAACTTACAGAGCTATTTATTTTGGGGATTTATTTACCGCTACACACTCCTGCGATCTCCTCGACTCTGTCTTTTTATTTATCTTGGTGGGTACAAATTATATTAGATGTTGCTGGTAGAAGCGCTGTGAAATACTGAATACCTGTGCCATCTTCAATGCATTCCTGGCAAGCCAGTTTATCTAGTATTCTTGAAACATTCGACTTTTCTAGCACTCGCATTACCACTTTATCGTTTTGACTATTACACTGACTAGAATTAGGGAAGTCGTGTGGCTGAAGTATCACCCGTTGGACATTACCAAATGCCTAAAGCCGCACTGAAACAACAAGAAGCGAGTGCAAATGAATCAATCGACCAATACATGCTCATGACAGAGATATTGGATATTACAGTTTTGAGCTCCCTTCGAAATCTTATTGGTTCATACACTATACTCTATGAATCAGCTACGTCTGCCAACAGACTTGATGATTTACATGACATCATATCATGTTACAGTTGTATTATTTAATATATAGTTTTATGGTCATGATCCATACAGCTGGATTACGTTGCATCTAACAGGCTTTCCAGGATTTTTTAAGTGTCTTATGGATTCGATATATATATATATATATATATATATATATATATATATATATATATATATATATATATATATATAGTTTTCTCAAATGCATTGGCTTTTGTTTCTCCTCCTTACACTTAGGATTTTGGAAATCACGTCTGCTTTTTCAGGAGTCTTATAAACCAATTATTGGGCGAATCACCAGTGTAGTAATTTAGAATTATTATAAACCGCGTAAGTTAGATATCAATGATGGTTATTGTATTGTAGAAGCAATTTAATATCTACCATCCTGTTACTTCACCAGTGTTACGCAGCTATGTCAGGTACCATATTTATTTAACAATTACTCATAGTTTATCAGATTCAGATTCAACTTTACCAGCCACAGACGACTTTGGGTCAAGGTTCTTAGAATTTGATGAATACTCTTTCGAGCAGACTGATAATACAGAAGTAAATAAATTATATTTTTGTGTAAATGAATGCTTGTTAAAGAAGCAGAAAGCGTGTTCTGACTAGTTTCATTTCCCGAGGCTATGAACCAAGTTAAATTTCCTCAAAACATTTCGCCCAGCCTTACAGATGCCTCTGAAGATGACCGTAAAGCGTCCCTCCCAAAAAATCAAATTGTTTTATTAACACCAGGCTTGTTGCTACTGGTAGCTTACGAGAGTTGGAACAGACTTAGTTGACACACGCAGTTGCTAGTCTACAACTCTCGCTTAAGTTCTGCGAGATCTTGCTCCTAAATGACCTACCTTATTTGCTTTGTGTATAAGTGGCGTTATAAGAACTACGGAAATTAAAATGTTTTAGGGACGGTAAAAAGTTCACTTTTTTAATAAGTGGTTCGTAAAGCAAAGCTGCTACCAATTTTCATGGCATCTTTTAAATGTCATTAATACTCACCTGGGCTTTCTAGTGAATTAACATTAAGTTGTAACCTAGCAAGAGTCGATAATTGGTTTGGATGATCGTTCCAACCAATTGGTTTGGAACAAGGTGTCTGTCTATCACTAAAATCCAAAACAGATGATCTCCTACGTACTGTCGTATTAGTACGGTTCAGTCCGATTATATGTTTTGGTTCACTTTCTAAGTACATCAATATGTTATTGCAAACTCCGAAACTTGGTAAGATAAGTATTTCATAATGTTTATGAAAGCATTGTATGAAAACAAGGAGTGGTCTCCAACTGGAATATGATAACCAGATCTTCTACAGACCGAAATTAACCACTGAACATAACTTCCGTCACGAAGTGACAGCATAACATGCTGCACTGTTATTGATTTGCACTTTATTCAGCTCATATAACTCTGAACTACGTGCAGATAACGTCTCCAAGTATGTTCGATACACACAGTCACCAAAGTCACTTATTATACTCTACCTTCTTGAAATCAACACTAACAATCCATAACTTGCTACTTTGCAATTTACAAGACAAAAATAGAAACGTCCACTGGAGTAAGAGGACTTTTTAATGAAAACTGAAAGATGCAGTAAAGTTGGTAATATCCCTAACATTTATACAAATTAGTTACAAGGTCACAGTCCCATATAGGATGAAGTTATGTAGATGGTTCAGCACATCAAATGGAATTTTAGAGGATGGAGTATAGCTGTACTTCATAATAACAGCTAGATAGTTAAAAATCGAATAATATTACAATTAAGTCCTTTCGAAAAAATTTCTGAATTAAGAGACAATTATATAAAATGGAAACAATGTGGTGCATTGGGGTATAGGTTAAAGTTACATGAGGGGACGCCAGGTACTGTATATTCAGCAACTGTTCCAATTGTTGTTTCTGGATACAACTAGGCTTTGGTCTGCACAAACTACATCTTCTGTTATGTGACCGATGTATCCAATTTTCTAATGAGCACCACAATATCTGCCGGGAAAAGGTCTTTAGTTTGTAGTAATTTTCCATACAAACCGGGATGTTTTAGTTTAAGTGGATGCTACAAGACATCGTTTTTTTAGTTTATTAAACTAAGTGAACTTAGCCTAGCAAAACGTAAATAAATTTTGTTTAGGATATAGTTGATCAGTTTCGCCTCTCTTGTATAACGTATTTCCGTGATTATTGGATGAGTAGTATTACAACATGCTCTTGAATATGACTGTCTTCTACAGCAAACATCAATTAATAGTTTATATAGTTTAATATTATTCTGCTGTTAGGCCATCATGGAATTACGAATCACATTTGGTTTCAGGATAGTTGTGTGAACTGAATTCGAAGACAGGTTTCGGAAAGCAACAGTCGGAATAATGATTTTCTAAATGTTAGGTGAACTCTCTGGACCTACTAATCGTCCCGGATACAAGCAGTGCTACGATTTTCATATAGTAGATAATTTAAGCTGTTATTGGTTTACAAAATAGTCAGCTATAATAAAATAACTTAAATGGTGTGAACCAAAGATAAAAATAAAATTTGCTAAGCAACCAATGTTTACTTAACATTACTATCCAGTTCACTTTTAGACTGATTTTTGGCCAATGTTTGTCTTTCAGAGTGATGCTTTTTCTGCGTTTCTACATCAATTTCGCCCCGTTGCCGAACAAAAGGTTTCGTTTCTCGATGAGCGGTTGCTTGCAACAAATAGTGGACGTAAGAAATACATAAACCTTGCTCTTGAAGATGACCAGGATTCTAATACCAGTGACAATTTGAAGGCCGGGGCCAGCTCTGGCAACAATTCTGAAGATGATGAAATGGAATATAAACCTCCAAAGTTGTTAACTGCACGACATATAAGTTTACAATCACAGAAAACTGCTGTTCCAACTGATATTAAGAAAATGAAGCAGTCTACAGCTCATTCCAGACTAATTAGTCTAGAATCCTTGAATTCAACTAAACCAACTCCAACTTTAACACCGGAACAAATTGCCGTCCGGCAAAAAAGAATAGCTCACCGCAGAGAATCAGCTAAGCACAAAGCGGAAATGGAAAAGCTCCAAACAGTGGAACGTTTGCTCAAGGTAAGTTACCGTATCCACAAGGTCCAAAATGTCAGTCACCGAAACTAACGGAATGGATGCAAATCTTACTTTTTTTCACAGTAATCTATGGTTCATTTCGAGTGCATGGGTAAGCTTCTGCACTTGAACGACTTGTGTAGTCTACTGATTATTAGATCCAGTTTGTGACATTTGTTTCTCAGGGGCGTTCCAGTTATTCTTATCCACACTAAAAGTATATAATAAACTAACTAGAAGTTATCAAGATATATTACTTATTATCACATATCCTCAAACCATACGTATCATAGTAGTGAGTTTCTGCGGGTGTGTTATGTTAATTTTGTTTTCACGGTTAAATAGTGATACTTGGGCATAAGACATTTCGGACGACGTAACCGAAGTATGGATTTTCTTTTTTAGATTAATGCAAATGTTATTGGGCGACGTGGTCGAGGTCGAGGTAGAGGTCTTCGGAATAATGGTTTGGCACACTGTGATCAGATCTCATCTCAAACGCGTTCACAGTTTGGTGTTTTAAAGTATGAGGGGGATTTAGTTGAAAAGGAGTATCTCAATGACACGCATGCTTCATTACGACCCAGTGAAGGTAATTGCATGAATACCGATTTTGTGGACAATGCTTATGAAAATACGAAATTGTCTGATAATAACATTTCTGCTAGTTTGCCAAATGTTCAATCATATAATCCCAAACCAGGATACATCCGCTTTGTATCTTCATCTCGTTTATCAACACAAACAGTCATCTGTTTACCTGAGACAGATAATAATAGTGACAAGGATATTTATTTGCACACAAATGTTTGCATACAAAAAGTCGAAGCTCCTGAAATACCTAAATCACGTCTATGCGACATGGGTTGCGGTTGTGCTAGGCGCTATGAATGTGCTAAAACAGGCCGCTCCTTATGTAGTTTATCCTGTTATAAAGCTAATTTGTCAGGATTCCCATTAACTATCTCAACTTAAATTGTAGCATTTAGACTTGTACAATGAATTTGAATGAATCTTGGTTTCTAGTAAAAAATATATCATAATAAAGTATGTTACATATTGTTTATCCGCGGTACTATTGTATCTACTTAGAAATTATCAAGATGTACCTATTAAGAAACGCCTTAGATGTTGCTTAGATGGTTATTTTTAGATAAATACATGTTAAGGTCTATGCACTTCCTGGAAACGAGGGTTATATCCCGATAGAACTCAATTTAAAGAAAGACCGCTCTAACAAAATCTTAGCAATTCATATTTTGAGTAGCTCTCTCTCTTTACATATATATATATATATATATATATATATATATATATATATATATATATATATATATATATATAATCTTAAGATGAATGCGATCGGTTGTCACCACTATTTTTGCTGTTATCATCTACGTATACATTCCAATTGTTCCTGAGCTGTTACTTGCCATTCTTTGGCGATGTGAAATGAACATTAGACAAAGGATCAGCTACTGCCATTCTTGGCTATGTTGAATTCCAGGACTGGAGACCCGTGTGTAACGGAAGTAAAGCTACATCAAGAGTGGGGGTAGTAATAATCATTAAGTAGTGTAGCTTTCTCACCAAACAGTTGTGTACTTGACTAAGGGTTAGCTATACTTTCTGGTTGCCGAAATCATATATAGTGAAGTGGAGAGTAAGCCTGCGGCAAATCGGCTCGCAGAATCATCTGCAAAAACACGTTTATCGAAAGAGCGAAGACTTTGTAGCAGTACTGACATATGGTGGAAGAAAATTGCTTGATTGTTGTTTTTTGGAATGGTTATCCACTTAGAAAATGTTTACCAAGTATATCCATTTCGAGAAATAACTGTAGAATCTACCAAATAGATGCAAGTTCATACCAGCTTCAGCGTTGATAATGGCTGGTCGACTAAATAGATCATGTTGACCTATTTGAGAATTATACCAGAGATAAAAGTTAGTCTGTTGAGAATAAGTCAATTACGAACCAGTGCAATGTCTTCCTTGGTATGGAAACCAAACAACATGGTAAAGTAAGGAACACTATTCAAGTATGCGTTATTCTAGTTTTTTTTAAGTACCTGATTGCTTTGTACAAATTTCCGAAGAGTATGGATTTTTTTTCTAACTCTTGTATCGGTGTAGCTGTCATAAAACTAATATTTTAATAGTATTTATGAACACGATGGGTAATAAACCTATCTCGTTACCTTTATCTTGCGACGTGCATGGCTTGTTCAGTAAATCCAACTCAACGATCATATAAAGTTTACTACACTTATTTGGGATAACCTAGTAAATATTCGTATTTGAAAAGTTATACAGAAAACCTAGGTGTAGGGAAGTTGTGAGTGGAATATTTTCCAACGTTTTATAAGTATCAGAAATGTACTTAAATGAAAAATGGATTTAAGTTTCAAAATACAGGGAACTTCAAAGCGAAAATATGTAATATCAAAGCAAGTATGTACATCGCATGCAACTGTTGTGTTACAGAAGCTCGTTAGGGAATCACAGGTCAGTTTTCGGCGATTCATAAGGCTCCAACAGGTTCCTGAACTTTTGAGCTTTAAGTAGCATTTCAGTGAAATAAGAATCAATGTCATCAGTCTCACTTTTCGAGCGCAGCTCGTACTCGTGTATGATTGAGTCCAATAAGCTTAGAATATATTGTTTGTTTGAGAAATTGAGTGATTTCCAATCACATACGTTGAAAAACTTTAAGCACGCTGTTATAACTTTTTCACGTATATCATGGTTTACTGGTGCACTTAAATCGTTATATCCCATACCCCTTTGAACATCTTGAAGTAAAGAAATATGTAGGGTTTCGCAAAATCCATACATTAGAAAGTTTTCTTCGAAAGGGATACTGAAAGTAGGAAAATAAGAGAATATGTGTTTTTACACAATAAATATTTGTCCTCTGGATAAATATACTTTAATGGGAGCTAGCAACTTTCCCTTCAGTAGTGTTCAGACTTTGCTATTTTCGTAAACCAATTTGATTGAAGTAACTGTATAGTTAAACCATATTTGTTTTGTTATAAAAAGTCTTATCATGTAGTTTAATGGTTCATTTCTATTGACTTGGTCAGACATCGAAAGAACAGCCAGTGATTTTATAGGTTGGTGAGATCTATGTACAGCGACTCATGTATTTTCCGAATCTAATTCTACTGAAGTTAGCATCAGCTATTAAGGTTAGTAATGTAATTTATAACTGTCACTTTGTTTAGCGCAGACGTAGGTCCACCTCCTAATAATATTCTGTACTCATTGGTCACATTAGCGACATTTAGAGGGAAATTGTATTCAGGTATCAGTAGCTTACACATCACTTACCCTTAACGGTCGTGAGGTAAAATATAGCGGAGTGTTTCGATAGATACTGTGATACAAAGGTAAGTGGTGAGAAAAGAGGAAATCATATAATAGTATTAAGAATACTATAAGTCAAATTAAACCACAAACGAACCTATCTCCGTTTTTAATTTGAGCACCGAGCTTGTACAAGGCGACAGTAATCGATGATTTAGATGAAACTGGTAGTGGGTTTCTATTACATTTGAGGATTGGATTAACAATTCAGCCGAAAGTAAAGATATTCCGAAGTCTTTTAAAACAGTCCTGCGAACTACGATTCGGGGATCTTGTCAATTGCACTTCATGACAAATATTAGATGAGACTATGGTAGTTAAACACTTAATTTCAAAACCATTGTTTTCCATTGACACGGAGGTTATTAATCTGAACTCAACAAACTAGTTTAGTGAGTTATCATTCGATTATCTAGGGTCTCAATGGTAAGCTTTCATAATTCGTAATTATCGCAGCCAAGGGTCGCGCGTAAGACTAGGCACAAAGAATCATTTGGTGAGAACAAGTGCTACACCCACCTGCCTAGTCTTGTTGCACTCCATTGGTTTTGATGCAATATACTTTGTCAGCTTGACCAAGACAGGAAAAGTTTAAAGAGAAATTACAAGCTTCGTAGATGGGGTTCAATGCACAAATAGGAAGGTAGCTTAAGAGGCTAAGTGTCACCTAATGGCTTCCCGGTTTGAATTGTTTTATCTAACGCTGGTTTCGAAAACTAGGCGGTATCAGGCACGAAAGTATGACTCAAACCCTATACTTAGCTAATGACCATATCTATCTACACATGTTCGATCCGCTCACCTTATTATTTTACCCACCTTTAGTATACACCCACAATAAATACATTATATTATACTAACTTACATTATTACAGTATATATTATATAAATAATACCATTTGAAACCGTTTTTTAAACCTACAGAATTCAAAATAACGAAGCTTAATAAACACAATCATCAAATCCATAAGCTTATAAATGATAACTCTATCAACTTTAGGGTACGAAAGATCGGATTGTTGACTAAGTTACGATGTTTTAGATGTCACAACCAGCTGACATGTTGGTAGTCATAAAATGGAAAATCAATAAGCGAATAAGCACGGTTGTCATTAGATGGATATAAAACAGGTAGGCGAGCAACATAATAACAGTGATTCGATTCAGCAACCAAACACAATAATGTGTAGTTGGCTTTGAACATGGGTGAGTGACACGAACAGGCCGATCTGATGGACTTTGTACCTGGTTTATCTAGCAAACCAACACCTGACATTACAAATTGAACATTTCACGGATCATCTAACGAAAAGTAAAAATTGTTGTCCCAACTCGATTTACACGAGAGTTGGGTTAGAGACAACAAGACATTTGGAGCATATGTTTGTGAAGAAAGGGTGTTTAATATTGCTCCTACAGTCATAAGCAAGAATCATGAGTTCACGCAAGAGAAGGAGTAGAATTAAACAAGAAAAATATTGCGATCAATAGATTTGCGCAGGTATGAATCCGTCGGAACTCACCTAGCATATATACTCCATACATCCATTTTTGTTTTTGTGGGGTCTTCCCCAAAAGTTATTTGGGTATCAAGCTAAAATAATAATAATGCATTAAACACTTCAAGTGAATTAGAACTGTGAAATAAAATAATTTGTTAGTACTATGAAATCAAACGAGGCATATAAACATATAATTAGATACTGTTTGGCAGTACACTTAAATTTAGTAGCTAAGTATTGTGAACATACTAGTTAGAAAAGCACCAAAATATCAAGACTATATAGTCACCAATGTTATCCTAAGACTTTACAGCTAATACTTTCCATATAGTAAAGACTATTAATTTTTCCAGTGTTGCTAGCTAGCATAAGACCAAAGTATTAGATTTATTGTCATCAAAGACGATATTTAAATAATGGCTCAAGCATAAAAACAACAGTCTGGTTGCCTAACTAAAAACCCTTAACATCACTAGAATTTAGATAACATCTTTTGGTGTTCAGTTCTCTGAGATAGATGATTTAATTGAGGATAATGGGTGTGTAATCGGATTGGGATTACCAATTGTAGCGTGTCGTCGAGTTGAGATTAACTATGAACACCACTACCAAGAAACACGTGCCAATTAGATCAGAAGGCGTAAGAAGCTCGTTCCAAATGACTCCATAAAATCCCCGAGAAGCCGAATACCAGAAGGCAATTAATGGACCAAGTCGATGTTTATTAGCTGGCGATCTCGTGGCATCGAAAGGATACCGAGATCGTGCCAGGATACAAGCTTGGTTACAGAACGTAACCGAATTCGCGCGAAGTTACAATCAAAGTGTAAGTAAGTGAATGAAAGAACAAAATAGCTGTCATTAGCACAGTCAAACAAAAGCACATTAAAACAAACACTGGTACAGTTGGTTATAATAATAATTGTTTTTATTAAACCAGTCGTGTTCTCGTGATAAATGTGAGTCACTACAGGAGCCCCCCGCTAGAAAGGGTTAACACTTTCGATAAATAGCGGTTTGAATCGTGGGACTGATCGGCTGACGAGCGATTGTAGGACGGAAAGATTGGCGAACAGGAAAGCGATCGTTGATCGTCGAGTT